TCATGACCTGAGCTGATGTCAGACGCTCAACCAACTGAGCCACCCAGGTGCCCCTTAACAAAATTCTTATGTCCTTCATAATCAATCCCCAGAAATAATTGCTTTGTTTTCTGCTCCTCCTACATTTTTTTCTCTGCGTATTCTAATGTACCTAACCACATCTATACATTTTTGTTTTAAACAAAAGTGGTTTTGCACCTTGTTTTTCTCATCTAATCTTTTCACGTTAATACACAGCCATAGCTACCCCAGTCTTTTTCGGAGCAGTTTATGCTTTTTTTGTTTTTTTTTTTGTTTTTTTGTTTTGTTTTTTTTTAACGTTTATTTATTTTTGAGACAGAGAGAGACAGAGCATGAATGGGGGAGGGTCAGAGAGAGAGGGAGACACAGAATCGGAAGCAGGCTCCAGGCTCTGAGCCATCAGCCCAGAGCCCGACACGGGGCTCGAGCTCACGGACGGTGAGATCGTGATCTGAGCTGAAGTCGGACGCCCAACTGACTGAGCCACCCAGGCGCCCCTTGTTTTGTTTTTTAAAGTAAGCTCTCACCCAGTGTGGGGCCTGAACTCATGACCCTGAGATCAAGAGTTGCATGCCCTACCAACTGAGCCAGCCAGGCACCCCTGTTTGTTGTTTTATTGTAGAGGTTGTGTAGAGTTGTGTATAATTTGTTCCGCTATATCTCTGTTTTTGAACATTTTATTTTAACTTTTTTGATATTATAAAAAATTTTTTGTGTATATATAACCTTTATTCATTTGATCACGATATACCCTATTGAGTATAAAACAGTTCCTAAATTTTATCTGGCTTCTAAATTTTTGTTGTATGTAAGAGGTTTAAAAGAAAATATGTGCTTACTATAGAAAAAAAGCACACACCAAAAAGTGAGACTATCCTATTAGAATCCAGATGCCTAACTACGTATTAGAAGGAAGTACAACATTCATAAATGGATGGACTGTTATTTATGTAACTATTGGAGACGAGACCTAAATGCTCTTTTCAGTTTTTGTTTCTTTTGTTTTGTTAAATAAACAAACATATTTCCTGAAATCTTTGTGGGATGTATCGGGGAAAATTCAGTGGATCTCTTACGTCCACTACATGGAAAGTCTTCATTTGAGGACTTCCTGGCCCCAGTTTGTGGGTTTGTTTTTTTTTAAGATTTTTAAGTAATCTCTACGCCCAACGTGGGGCTCAAACTCACAACGCCAAGATCCAGAGTTGCATGCTCCACCAACTGAGGCAGCCAGGCGCCCCCAACCAGCCTGTTTTTTTATCACCGAAGGTTCATCTTTGTTTTGGGAATCTAATCTGTAGCCATCACTGCATGGGTCCTGAGTGCTCCTATATCATTCCAGAATGAACACAAGAACTGTCCTTTAATTTTCTATAGCAAAGCTGAAATTTGACTGTAATGTTTAAAGCAAATTATTTTGAAACCTGGTTAATAATACAAGGGAATTACAGAGAACCTTATAGCTGACTGATTATGGCTTCTTCACAATTTTCTGCTCTCTAGGGTCTGTCTTGCCATGCTTCTCATGTTGGGATGTGTTAGGCATTGTATAGGGATGAGGCATAAACCCAGGGAACTTTGACATATCTTCCTGAAATGTTATTATTAATTAAAGCTTTGGATTAGAAAGTTAGAACAAAAGGAGATAAGTTAATGGAAAATTTGCTTGAAGAAGAAAGATACCAGTTTTATCATTGGAATGAACAAAAATAAGTATATCGTGTTAACTTTTTAAATTCTGTAATTTACATCTTCATAAAAGATATTTAGACATCAAAGTTTTCTCGGGCATAATTTTCTGACGTTTTGCTTTTTTGCTTTGGGGAGATGTACATGGAACTTGGAGTGTGAATATATTTCTTATTCAACTACTAGAGCTACTGGAATGATCAGTACTTAATTTCTGCCCTCTAGATTGAATAGGGGCTTGATATGTCATTGTTTCCTTTTATGTGTAAAAGCTTAAATACTTCCCCCCCCCCCCAGGTTTGATTTTTGCCAAGCATCAGAAGGAAAACGCCCATCTGAAAATCTTGGTCAGGTGTTATTTGGGGAAAGAATTGAACCTTCACCATATAAGGTTGGTATTCAGTGTGACATAGAGGTCATTTAGTTGTTCCTTTCTTTCTCATTCATTCTTTTTTCTTTATTTTTTCCTTACAGAAAAGCCTAAGATAACTTAGCTGTTATATCTAAAGAGGATTTCATTTCTCTTTTAGCTCTGGGAATAATTATTTAATGTTACGGTTTAGAAGGATCCCTCTCCTCATGATATGTCACGGATAAATTTGTCTTAAACATTCATATATCAGTTTTTTTTTTTTTTAATTTTTTTAACATTTATTTTTGAGAGACAGAAAGAGACAGAGCATGAGCGGGGGAGGGGCAGAGAGAGAGAAGGAGACCCAGAATCTGAAGCAGGCTGCAGACTCTGAGCAAGCTGTCAGCACAGAGCCTGATGCAGGGCTTAAACCCACAAACTGCGAGATCATGACCTGAGCCGAAGTCACATGCTCAACCGACTGAGCCATCCAGGCCCCCCTCATATATCAGTATTCTAAATGATAAGTTGGTGGCCTAAAGGATAGGACTCAAGACGCTCTTCCTTATGTTACAGAGGGACCAGAAACCCAGGCCTCCGTCATGAAAAGTTGCCGCAGCTGCTCCACATCTCCTTCTCCCTCTTTGGGAGTATTCATACATATTTACCTACTCTCTCCTAGCAAGTATAGCACTACTTGGGTTCTCCCATTGGGGGTTTTGGGAAGCTAACCTTTCTCTTTTGACCATTGAAAGTATATTTGGAATGTTCTCGGTATATTTTTAGAAACCAAACTAAGCACAATATAAGATACTGTCTTCAATGTATGTACTCCATCATCACCCAGAATTACTCCTTTTTTTTTTTAGTTTATTAAAAAAAATTTTTTTAATGTTTATTTTTGAGAGAGAGAGAGAGTGGAGGAGGGGCAGAGGGAGGGTGAGACACAGAATCTGAAGCAGGCCTCAGGCTCTGAGCCGTCAGCACAGAGCCGGACACAGCGCTCAAACCCACAAACCACAAAATCATGACCTGAGCTGAAGTCAGATGCTTAACTGACTAAGCCACCCACGCACTCCTATTTATTTATTTTGAGAGAGACAGAGAGAGTGCAAATCAGGGAGAGGGAGAAGGGGGGGGAGAGAGAGAGAGAGAGAGAGAGAAAGAAAGAGAAAGAGAATCCCAAGCAGTCCCCACACTGTCAGGACAGAGCCCGATGTGGGGCTTGATCCCATGACTGTGAGATCATAACCTGATCCGAAATCAAGAGTTGGATATTCAACTAACTGAGCCACCCAGGCGCTCCCTGGAATTATTCTTTTAAATCTGTAAACACTTAAGCCTATTTTTCTTCCATGTTGTGCAGTACCCTGTTCATTTTACATCTTTTCCCCCTGCTACACAAAGAATGATGCTCACTCTCTTTTAGAAAAATTAAACTAGTTTATCATAACAATGTATCACCATATAAAAACTTAAATGATGCAGAATAATATGAAATGAAAAGTAAGTCTTTCTCCCCCTACCCCCAGTTTTACATCAGTTTCTTTTTTTTTTTTAATTAAAAAAAATTGTTTTTTTAACGTTTATTCATTTTTGAGAGACAGAGACAGAGCATGAGTGGGGAAGGGGCAGAGAGAGAGGAAGACACAGAATCTGAAGCAGGCTCCAGGCTCAGAGCTGTCAGCACAGAGCCCGACGCGGGGCTCGAACTCACGAACCGTGAGATCATGACCTGAGCCGAAGTCGGATGCTCAACCGACTGAGCCACCCAGGCGCCCCATTACATCACAGTTTCTTATTAATCTTTCCTGAAATTTCCCATGTACTTACAACCATATATAAATAAAATTAGACTTGACTTGTTTATGATTTAACATATTATTCTGCACTGTGAATTTTTCCTTTAAGTCTCTACTTTGGACATCTCTCTGTATTCATTTTAATTGCTGTAACTTGACTCCAGGTTTTATTCCCCAGGCTAATTCCTCTCTCAGTGTCTCATCCTTGTCTTCTACGACTTAGACCCTATGGTTAGCTGCCTTCTCTGCTTCTCACTAAGCACTGCCATCTATTTTCTTTGGCACTTCATTGCACTGAGCATCTGTCCAGCAAATCCCCAAACCTAGAGTTGTCCCACTACCCACCTAATCCCCTCTAACACTACACTACACTGGGGAAAAGACGCATAATTGTGCAAGTTTAGTCCACATAAGTATACGATTTTACAGTTTTCAACCATAAGTCCTCTTAAAATAATTATAATTTTAAAATTTCTACCCTAAAGATGCCCGTAGTTTAAAATTTTTTCAAAGACAGATTTGAAGGCATATGGGATGAGGCCACTGGGAAGGAAGGAGTTCAAAGTATATGGACATGGGTATTACTGTGCCGGGCAAGCATATTAATTGTGTATCATCTTAATTGTGTATCACTCCCTGATGTGATATTTTGAAAGATTACTTTGGAAGTTATTGTACTGTTTTTATAGTAGAGGGTGATTTTCAGGCATATTTATTAAATTATACAATCAACTTAAGATATTCCTGTGGTGCCTCAGCCCCATCATTCTGTTTAGTTATGCCTTTGCCTTGAGAAATAATGGAAGGAAAGAGCATCAATAACATCGTCAGTGAACTTGAGGGACAGCAGGAGTTTCTTGCAGTAAACAGCTCATAGCAGGTTGCAGATAAACAGAGGAAAGGCCAGCAAAATATTCAAACCCCGAAAGAAGTTTGTCCCTTTGGGGAAGAATTTAAGGGCAAATTCTGTCCATGGTAGGTTCTCTCCAGGATATATTTATTTACAGGAAAAGACAGCGTTGCTTATGCAAAGGACCCTTCTTCTAGGCCTAGTACTTTGCACTTTAATTTTGAACCAGGAGTTGAGGTAAAATAGAACAGGAGTGCTTTAAAATGGAGAGACATGCATCTCACATTTTGTATGAGTTTCCTAGGAGTTTTTAGGATCAAGATTTGTGCTAAAACAAAATCTTTAAGTCCCCCAAGCTTAAAGAGACAGAGTAGGCATTTCTTAAGACTAAGGCATAGGTAAACAGAAACATGGGGATAAGAGATTAGATTTTCGGGGCGCCTGGGTGGCTCAGTTGGTTGAGCGTCCGACTTCGGCTCAGGTCACGATCTCGCGGTCCGTGAGTTCGAGCCCCGCGTCGGGCTCTGGGCTGATGGCTCGGAGCCTGGAGCCTGCTTCCATTCTGTGTCTCCCTCTCTCTCTGCCCCTCCCCTGTTCATGCTCTGTCTCTGTCTCAAAAATAAACGTTAAAAAAAAAAATTAAAAAAAAAAAAAAAGATTAGATTTTCATTCAAGTCAGCCATAAATGCAATGACTCATATTTTTCAGTATTGATTCAGTATTCTTTGTCCTTTATTTTCATAGAATTTTGCCTTATTTTTTAATGTTTATTTTTGAGAGAGAGAGAGAGAGAACGAGTCGGGGAGGAGCAGAGACAGAGGGAGACCGAGAATCTGAAGCAGGCTCCAGGTTCTGAGAGCTGTCAGCACAGAGCCTGGCATGGGGCTCAAACTCACAAACTGTGAGATCATGAGCTGAGCCAAACTCCAATGCTTAACCACCTGAGCCACCCAGGCACCTCTTATTTTGCCTTATTTTAGATCTGCAGTAAAAACAATGGTAACAACCAGCAACAAAACAAAACCTCAAATCTGCTTTGCTGTCTTTTATCTATGACTGCTGTTGAGGTCAGGAAAACAAGATTGTGTGTGTTATGTGAAGCTGGAGCCACATTCTCAGGGTCATAGACTCATCCCAGATCTAACCAGTCATCCATATTCATTTGCTCAGTTAGTATGTTCGTGCCAGGCACGGTGGTAGGTATGGCATGCAGCAGTGATCGGAGACAAAAATCTCTGTCCTCATGGACCTTATATTCTGATGAGGAGAAGGAAACAAAATGAATTACTAAAGTACATACTGTGTCCATTGCTGATGGAAAAACTATCAAAAATAAGTCAGGGAAGGTGAATGAAGAATTGGCAATTTTAAATGGGCCAGCAGAAGTCTTGCTGAGTGAGAAGGTAACATTCGAGCAAAAGACCTGAGGCAAGTAAAGGAGTGAACCATGTGAATATCTGGGGGAATGTTCTCTGTGAAGATAGCAGCACATGCACCCGTTCTAAGATGTGAGCTTGCCTGGTGGGCTGAAGGTACAGAAATAGTTGGTGTGACTTGAGCGAGTGAGCAAGATAGAGAATAGCAGGGAATGAGGGCAGAGAAACAATGGGACCATATCACATAGGAACTCCTAGGCCACTGTAAAGACTTTGGCTTGTATATCTGAGCAAGATGGTTGACACTGAAGGATATTGAGTAGGCTTAAATTTTAACAGGATCACTAGGGCTGCTGTGTTGAGGAGGACCATGGGAGAGCAAGGAGAGAAGCCAGGAGACTGGTTAGGAGGCTGACACAATCGTAGAGATATGTATGACCCGATAATAGCTCAGACCATGGAGTATAGGAGTAGGTGGTGTGTTGTCAGAATCTCAAAAGCTGGCTACATTTTGAAGGTGGGGTCAGTACAACAGAATTTGCTAAGGGATGGCATGTGGGGTGTGGATTTCCTGTTTTCTAGAGTGGGACAGTCTGGGAAGAGCAGGTTTGGCGGGAATGGGAAATTAGGCATCTAAATAGAGATGTAAACACTTCAATATATGTGTCTGGCATTGGAGGAGGGGTTCAGCCTAGATATATACATTTGAAAATCATCATTGGTGTAAAAATCAGTGTATCAGGAACTCATGAGATCCCCAAGGGGGTGTGGGTATAGATAATGAAGAGGAGGATTCCAAGGATTGAGCCTTGGGGCACTTGGTGTTACTAGGTGAGGAAGATGAGAAGGATTCAGCAAAAGAGACTACCTCAAAGGTGGGAGGATTACATGAGTTAATAAATGCTTATTATGATGATTAAGCATCCTCTCTAGTTTTACTATTTTCCTTCACAGTTGAACACAGAGTTGACTTGCCTAAACCCAGTAAGCACTGGATTGAGGCGTAAGATTTGCCACTTTTAGTATAACTAGCAGTGTCTATGCTGAATGTAAATTTGACACTTACCCTCTAATTCCTTAGTATGTATACTTCTTTTTTTCATTTTCCTCCCTTTAAAAAGGAACTTACAAGGTGTGTATAAGGTTAAGAATATTAGATAATTGCACAAACATTGCTACATTTACAGAAGTGGCAATGTAGACAAACTTAATTCTTAGCTGACAGGTGGCAGCAGTGGGCTGCGCTTGAAGCTCTCCTCTGCCAGCTCATGCACAAAAACTGGTTTAGGTGTTTTAATCATGTGCAAAGGATTGAACTGCTTAAAAGTGAAACATATGCAAGGTTTTTTTGTTTTTTTGTTTTTTTTAACTCCATGTAATAAAGTTTGAGTTTATTGAATGGTATACAATTGCAGACTATATATAGTTTAATAAATTACAGCCTTTAGAAAACTAGGGAATACTTTTTTTAAAATTTTTTAATGTTTATTATTTTTGAGAGAAAGAGACAGTGCAAGCGGGGGAGGGGCAGAGAGAAAGAGAGACACAGAATCTGAAAGGCTCCAGGCTCTGAGCTGTCAGCACAGAGCCTGACATGGGGCTCGAACCCACGAGCCATGAGATCATGACCTGAGCCCAAGTCAGAGGCTTAACCGATCGAGCCACCCAGGCGCCCCAGAAATACGTTTTTAAAATGAAGACATAAGTGGATCTTGATAAAGTAAACTTACATTATGCGGTATGTTATGAATACCATTATTTTTACACATGAAATAAGTCCTAGGCTCCAAAATTGGAGGACTCCTTAGTGTTTTAACTTTTAAATTATTAATTTTTGTTTAAACCTTATTTGTTTCAATTTTATTTAAATAAGATCATGAAAATTGACAGTCTTTTCAAATGTGTGTAAAAAGAGAAGCACATTTACCCTGAGTTTTAGACATCCAAATTTGACTTTTTCTTGTGTCATCACAGTCTGTTACTTACTGCTGAATCTCTATTACCTGGCTCATAGGGGGCACTTAACAAACATCCATCAAATGAATATATGGGCATAAAAACTTGTCTGCTTATTACTAGAAAGCCTTCAACTCCATAATTTCAAAACATCAGAGGCCATTACTATAGAAGAACTGATTTCCATTTTGTGCTACATGTGTTTTTTTCCCCTTTTAAGGTTCATTTACATTTAAAAGGTGAGTGGATTCAAATTATCGAAAATAAAAATAAAAACTGTTACTTATCAAAAGGAAAATTGATTTAGATTTTTAGAGAAATAGATTAAAATTTAAATGTAATTGAAGTATGAGAAATTTTACAATATTATCAATATTAATGCACTGAAGTAATTTGACAAGACCAGTATTTTTACTCTGCTTATGGCATAGGTGTGAAGGACCTAGATATTTTTTAATTTGCTTTTCACTTTATTTTAATACAGTTTACATTTAATAAGGAGGAGACCTGCAAGCTTGTCTGTACAAAAACATACCATACAGAGAAAGCTGAAGACAAACAAAAATTAGAATTCTTGAAAAAAAGCATGCTACTGAATTATCAACATCACTGGTAAGACATGGAGATTTTGGACTGTTGGTATTTTCCTTTTCTAGATGAAACCTCTGTTTCGTTGACTGTATAAATTACTTCATTAGCTCTATAAAATGTAGCAAATCCGTTGATTTTTTTGTTGATAGTAATAGCATGAAGTCTGACTTTTAGGTGCCAAGGATTACTAAGGTTGACAGCTTAAAGTGTCATTTTTAACTGCTTAGATTACTGTAATATCTGGTACTTCTTTTGGTTCCTAGACCTGGTACCTAGAGTACTTCTTTTTTTCACGTGTATTTAATAAGAACATATTCATGCTTTGGGGAAAGGACCTGGATCAGTCATCTAGAAAAATACTGTTATTTTATACTTGGAGGCCTTAAAAAAGACCATGGGAAAACAAACTTGAACGTCATTTAATGTTTGATACATAGCATCTGCTTCAAATAAAACAGTTACATTTTGAGTAACCTGTTTTTTATTTTATACACTGTGATGTTACATTAAATAGGTCTTTACCAGTTAGTGTTACAATCAAAAAGCATTTAAACCTATTTTATTTTTGCTTCTAAAGTAGTTAACTCAAAAAAATAAGGTAGTTTTGACTCTTTATACATAATTCAAATGTAGAATATTTTTAAAAGGGTCTGAAAATCCAACTTTTGAAGTATGATCATTATTCTTCAAGATAATTTTGCTGACAAATACCTTACTCTGTGTGGGGTTCTAATTTACATATGTTTTGCCTCTTCTAAAAAGTATAAGGTACTGGAGATAGTGAACAAGAAGACTGTCTTCATGTACTTCCTCTTTTTTTTTTTTTTTTATATATGAAATTTATTGTCAAATTGGTTTCCATACAAATGTACTTCCTCTTGAATGTTTATCCTATCAGTATGTCATGCTCACTTGCCCAGTGCAAGGGAGGTTAGGAACCATTGATCTCAGTTTGACATGCCCAGACCCTGTGGCTCAAATACTGTGGTTGGAGCCTGTCATTCTATCTTGCCCCCTAAAAGTCCTAGAGAGGGGCAACCTTGGGTCACTTGCCCATCCGTGAACTAGTCTGTCTGTAATTAGGGGAATTCATTCTGATTGGCCAGACCTTGATAGAATCTGTTTCAGTCTGCTAAACCAGATGGAAACAAGTTTCTCATAGCAGGACACCGTTGGAATAAGGAAGGACACTTGCCCATTACACTTGTGTCAGCTTCTTCCTCTTGTGAGCCTCAGTGCAAACAAGAACTTGAAATCTCCTCATTTCTTTGGTACTGTGAGAATACTATGTAATTGCTGAATCAGTGTAAGTTGGGTACATTTGCTTATTCATAAGTAATTGAAATTTTCCTTGGTATTTTCAGTTTGCTTCAAATTGTTAACAGCCTTCAAAATGATATCTAAGGCTCAGTTTTTAGAGTTTCATGTTAGCCTCATTCACCTCCGTTTACTCTAGGAGGTGTAAACGTTTGGAGTAATAGCTACTCTATCCATTTAGCTATTTTTTTTTTTAATTTTTTTTTCAACGTTTATTTATTTTTGGGACAGAGAGAGACAGAGCATGAACGGGGGAGGGGCAGAGAGAGAGGGTGACACAGAATCGGAAACAGTCTCCAGGCTCTGAGCCATCAGCCCAGAGCCCGACGCGGGGCTTGAACTCATGGACCGCGAGATCGTGACCTGGCTGAAGTCGGACGCTTAACCGACTGCGCCACCCAGGCGCCCCTATCCGTTTAGCTATTAATAGCTACTCACTTGTTGACAGAATAAAGAATGACTTCAGGCCTATAGGTGATTTTTAGTTATTTCTTCTACCCTGTGTTCTTGGAATACTGTCAAGAAGCTTGCTCCTTAAAGATGATAGAAGCACCTCTTCGTCAGTAGCTTAGAAATATTTTTAACTAATTTATGATGGAATTAACATAGGTACTCTTTGATGCCAAAATGCATAATAAAAAGAATAAACAATTTAAAATAGTTTATGAAGTTAGCATTTGATAATGAAATTGATTCAGTAATTTGTGATAGGTATATCAGTTGCAAACTTATGCTATATTCTGCCTAAAAAACTTGAAAGTTGCTGGTGATTAATCATTTTATTGTTGTATCAGAAGAGTTTATGATTTCAGGTCTGAAACTATTAGCCAAACTCTAAGCTGTATCACAAATATATCGTCTGGTAATTGTGGACAATGGACTTAAGTCTTATTATTTTTTTTTTTTTATGTTTATTTTTGAGAGAGAGAGAGAGAGAGACAGAGTGAGAGTGGGGGAGGGGCTGAGAGAGAAGGAGACACAGACTCTGAATCAGGCTCCAGGCTCTGAGCTGTCAGCACAGAGCCTGATGCAGGGCTCAAATCCACAAACCGCGAGATCATGATCTGAGCCAAAGTCGGACACTTAACCGACTGAGGCATCGAGGCGCCCCTGGGCTTTAGTCTTTAAATGTTTTTTAATGTTTATTTATTTTTGCTAGAGAGAGAGAGAGAGAGAGAGAGAGAGAGCGAGAGAGCTAGGGAGGGGTGGAGAGAGAGACACCCACAGAATCTGAAGCAGGCTCCAGGCTCTGAACTGTCAGCACAGAGCCCTACACAGGGCCCGACCCATAACCCATGAGATCTTGACCTGCGCTGAATGAAGTCCGACGCTTAACTCACTGAGCCACTCAGGTGCCCCTGGGCTTTAGTCTTTAAATCAGTACATTACACATTTGGAAAATGTTGGTTCACATTGATAATTTAGTTGAACCCTAAGTTGAGTGTATTTCTGTCTTTGACTTACTTCAGAAAGTTTTTACTGTGTAACTTGATTTTCAGCATAGATACCAGAGTTGATAGAGATAAAATAGCATGAACCTTTAGAAATCTGAAAGACCTTTAAAAGTATAGTGTTATGTTATGGAATTTTATTGTGAATGTAGCACTTCTTCTTAACCTTTGCACTGAGACATTTGGGGAGAGCATAATCATTTTCTAAATTATGAAACAATATATATCTGTGAAAAAACACAAGCAGCGTAGGAAAATATCAAGTAAAAAGTAAACATCTTCTACCACCCTCAACTTCTTTAATCCTGTTCCCCAGAGGTAGCAGTATTATTTCTCATGTGTTCCCAGATATTCTGTGCATATGCAGGCATATAACAGGAGTGTACCTGTTTAAAATAGTGCAACTGAAGTATTGTACATATTATTCTGCAAACTTGCGCATTTCTTTTCAGAAAATCTGGGCGTTTGTCATGTAAAAGCACATCTGTAGACCTGTATCTACCTTATTCTTTTCATAATTGTGTAGTATTACATTGCATGAATGAACTGTAGTTTTTTCCCCCATGACGTTTTTAACCTTACTACCTTTTAAACGATTACAATAACCGAATATTAGCTAATAAACCAACCCATTTAGAGAACAGTTAATTAAGAATAGTTAATTTCCTTATCTAAATTGACAAATACTTTTAATTCATAATTTGGGATGTTGGAACACAATTTGAGGATTTTCTTGCCTTATTCTGTCCTGAGCTACTTCTTGATTCTTGAGACTAGTGTTTTGATAGCGCCAGGCACCGAATTCCCTTCAGCTATACTCTGCATGGTTTGTGCTTATACTTCTTGCCCAAATTTCCAGGTGTTTGTGACATTTTATTTATAAAAGTATAATTATATAACTAGGTATCACAGTACTTACGTTTTCTAGCTTATTGGACAGAGGGGGTCTTTGAAGGTATTTTAGTCTAGTGAGTTCTAATCCTGGATCTCAGCAAGCTAGCAGTGGGAGAATGTTTTTAAAAATTCAAAATCCTAACAGATAGTGTAAATGTACCCATGTTAAAACTATATAGAATAACTTAAATGCCAAGCTTCTTTGCTTTTCACTACAATTTTCTGAATATATTGTGATAACATGGGTTATTCTGTTCTGATCGGAAACTCTGGGAATTTAATTTATTGGGGAAAAATTATTAGTGGATGAGGCTTCATTAATAGAAGTGTTTTATATGGAGCCCATGGAGGGTAAAGGAAAATAATGCAAAGAAGTCCTAGATGGTAAAAAAAAAAAAAAAAAAAATTGGGGCCAACCTTTATCCTTTTGAATCCTTCTTTTTCACTGTGAAGATTAAAAATAAGATTTTTAGTATTTTTGCTGTTATAAATTTAAATAAGTACTACTCCCTAACTTAGCAAGGCAGTAATTGAAAATTATATTCTTTAAATTTTATTACATTTATTTCCAAGTGTTTGTTGTTCTTTTTTTAAATGCTTCCTATTACCAGGAAAAGGTTATTGTGTCAAGGCATTATGTAAATGATAAACTTAGGATGCTTGCTTTAAAAAAGCCTAAATTGCTGCTTAATTTCTCTTTTTATAGCTAGCACTGTAATTTTTATGTAGTACTTTCTCTGCGATGAAAGCATAAAGATATTATAATTAATATATTGTATATATTCATTGATTGCATTTCATCCTCTATCTAAAAAATTAAAGCAATTAACTGATTGTTTAAGCTACCAAAAAAATCTGAATTATTTATTTTATGTAGCAGTGCTTTTATACTTCTAATATTTTAGTCTTTTCATGGGAGCTGCTAGCCTGCTGGCTATAATAATAAGCAACTTAATAGTGAAGGTGATTCTAAAATTTGGTATATTGGGTACTATTAAATAGCATTTAAATGTGACGAGACATGTTTTATTAGGTCATTAATGTACACCTTGGGTGCATATAGAATCATAATTTTACTTCCTAAGGCATACATTAATTAACAAATAAAACATGCCCTGGAGTCATCTTATGACTGTAATATAGCTAGTATATTTTTAGTAATATTTTTTAATTTGTATCCTGTAGTGTGCTCTTGGCATTTGGGGACCACATGCTCGGACTTTAATGTAGTTTAGACAGTGCTACAGAATCTTATTCTTTTATTCTTTATTTTTATCCCCTTTTTAAAAAAGTTCTTTGTCACTATAGCACTTTAAATTTTTGTTTCTCTGGTTTTATAGCAGCATTTCTTTTACACATAAGTTGGATTTACACAGCTTAATAGATTAAGACTGTAATTTTCACTTTTTCACTGGCCCTTAAGTTGAATATTTTTCCATCTTGCAGTTATGTTCTTCCCCTTTTTATTGAATTACCTAGTAGTAAACGACATTTGCTTCTATGCTGTTCCATTAAATTGTTCCCAAGGAACTAGATACATTGCTTTGCACCTAATTTAGAGCTTTTGAGTGTTCTGCAAAAGGTAAATTATACTCAACAGATCTAGATAGTGATATTAAATTAGCAACTGCAGTAAATTAATTTATAAAACTCTCTTTCCTGTATACATCTATAGTTTCAATGAAGCTATAAAGTCTTTTTCTTCACTACAGCATATCAAATATTGGCATAATGCTATTGCCTATGAAATACTACATTTTATCAAAATTCTTTTGTTGTAGTTTTGACATCTGAAGGCATTTATAGATATCTAAATTCTATGAAGTTGTAACACAGTTTTGAGCAGTATTTGTTAGTCATGTTTGATGATTTCTAACTTGACTTTTATTTCTGTGCTTAGGATTGTGGATAATATGCCTGTAACATGGTGTTATGATGTAGAAGATGGTCAGAGGTTCTGTAATCCTGGATTTCCTATTGGCTGTTACATTACAGATAAAGGCCATGCAAAAGATGCCTGTGTTATTAATGTAAGTTCGTGAAAAAAACCTCTATGCTACTTTTTAAAAATATGTTTTTTTGGTAGAAGGATTCAGTCTTTACCTGCACAAAATTGGTTACATTCATTGTATGAGTACAATTCACATGTCTGAAGCACAATTACTTAGATCTTTGACTTAAGCCAGATTAACAATATATAAGTTTAACTCTAGCACTAAATAATTCAGATTCAGTTCAGCATTCACTGAGTGTCTGTTACATGCTAAGCACTAGGCTAAGGGCTAGGACTTTGTATGTTCTGACTCTATTAAAAGTTAGACGCATAAATCTTATATATATTAAAAAAAAGGTTACTGGAGTGCCAAAAAGACCTCATTACAAGCCCATGAAATTTGTATTACAAATTCAAGTCCATAAAATAATATATTGCAAGAGTTTAGTATTATACCTTTTCTTAAAAAGTAAATGCCTTTATAGCCATTCTTTTATATTTAAAAACAATAATAAAGATGTTACTATAGAAAGTATTAAAATTATTGGGGATGTGTATCAAATTTTGTGTAATCAGGTCAACCTGATTTAATCTCCTAGTATGACCTGGTAGTAGAAGTTAGCATCAGCTTGATCATGAAACTGGTTTGGCTAATGCTTTTGGGAGAGTTGACTACACACACTTAAATTATTTAGGTTTTGGGTTTAGTCTGAAGTTATAAGTTTCAATTTTGAAATGTGTAAGTTTTGGTATGCTCATAACATTTAATATTCTAAAATTTATTTTGTTAGTTTTATCATAAGTGGAAAGATAGAAAATATTAGATGTGTTCTTTTTAACAGGTATTTATATGTAAGAATTAAAATATTAAAGAAGCATAATTTGTACTCTGCCAATTCATTTTGGCTTTTGGAGAGTTTCAGCTTAAAACTTAAACGTTTTTATAAGGAAGGACTAAAACTCTGTCTTAGCTCAAATTTTCCTACTTGTTGTGCCTCATGTTAAAGTTTTGTTTTGACTCTTGTGCAGCCAGTTTTCTACCTTTAAGTTTTGTTCCACAGTCAGAATTCCATGAAAGAGATACATTTTACATCTTCAACCATGTTGACATCAAAATATATTATCATGTTGTTGAAACTGGGTCCATGGGAGCAAGATTAGTGGCTGCCAAACTTGAACCAAAAAGGTAACTATACAAATAGATAAAAAGTGAATAAATGAGGGATGCCTGGCCAGCTCTGTCCTCAGTCAGAAGAGCATGTGACTCTTTATCTTGAGGTCATGAATTTGAGCCCCACATTGGGTGTAGAGATTACTTTAATTAAAATACAAAGGGGTGCATGGCTGGCTCTGTCAGTGGAGCATGTGACTCCTTATCTCAGTCATGAGATTCAAGCCACATTTTGGGCATAAAGCTTACTTTAAAAAATTAAATGAAAATAAAATAGTAAATAAGTAAATAAATGTGAGTGAAATTATTCCCAAAGAATAAATATTTGGGACCCAGTTAACTTTTTGAAAAATCAGTATTCTGGCATATAATCTGACATCTCAGTATTGATTTTACTAAAACTCCCTTTAGTGTGATTTGTTATTGAGTTGTGGGTTGTCCAGAGAAGCCATATAAATATATTTTTTTTCCTGTTATGGTAAGTAGTCAAGCCAAAGTGTCTTTTTGTTCTGTTTTTCAATCAGGAAGTTTTGACAGCTTTTCTGTGTCAGCCAGGAATGGAGAACGTGAGTGGTTGGCGCAGCATTCCCTCTTTTGGTGGAAAAGCACTGCCTCCAATATTTGCAGCTTGACCTCTCATCAGATGCCCAAATGAGCCGATTTCTTAAAGTAATCTCTACACCCAACGTGATCTTGAGCTCAACAGTTCCATGCTCTAATGAGTGAGCCCACTGGGTGCCCCCTAAATGGGCTGATTAGTGCCATCATTTCTAAAGTCTCCTTGCAGTGTTAGATGCCAGTATGTGACAAGTCAGTGAAAGAGCATCTCTTCAAGTTGTCAATATTTTTAGTGTGAAAGTACCTATCAGTTATTTGTGAGATCCCTTTTTTGATGGAGCATTCCATTTTTTTTTTCATGACTTCCCCTCAACCCCCACCCCCCCCATTGAATTAGTCTTTTTCCCATGCTACTGTTGGTTAAGAAATGCATGCCATTATTGGATGGCAGTTAATTTAAATTCCCTCAGTGTTTGTTTTTATTGTTTTAAGATATTTAATGTTCTTCATGTATAGTGCTTTCAAAAGTTTGTTTCTAATTTTGAATAATAATTTACATATACTTACAACTAAGCCCATTATTTATATAAAACAAATATTTGTACTATTAAATGTGACATGAATAATTTCACCCTTGACTATCACTAGCATTGTAAAATACATACAAAATCTGTAACATTTACCCCATTTTTTCAACTGTTCTTTATCAGCATCTTGCCAAAATGTTTCCTCCCACAGCTTCAAACATACCCATATAGATAAACCGGACTGCTCTGGACCCCCCATGGATATAAGTAACAAGGCTTCTGGGGAGATCAAAATTGCCTATACTTATTCTGTTAGCTTCCAGGTGAGTTTGTTTTTATCTCTAGTGTAACTCAGAAATTCTAAATTCATACTATGTAAACTAATTAAAAATATTAATGATTAACCTTGTCAAATACATAAGCTTTTAATGAGCTGATTTGGAATAGTTTGTCATTGCACCAGGCAACATAATCACACTAAAAACTAAGTGTCCATTTAAATGAGAAGTATGGTTGATTAGAGAATTGAACCTGATTAAATGTTAAGTCATAAGAGATACATAGAAAGCAAAAGGTAGAAAAAGAAAATAGACGTAGAGGTCGGTTGGGGCATTTGGATGACTCAGTGGTTAAGCATCCGACTTCAGCTCCCGTCATGAGCTAGCTCACAGTTTGTGAATTCGAGCCCTGCGTTGGGCTCTTTGCTGTCAGCAGAGTCGGCTTCGGATCCTCGTTCCCCTTCTGTCTCTGCCCCTCCACTCATTCCCTGCCTCCCCCCCCAAAAAAAATAAATAAATAAACCTTAAAAAAATCTTTAGTGGCACCTGAGTGATTCAGTCGGTTAAGTGATTCTTGGTTTTGGCTCAGGTCATGATCTCACAGCAAGAGTTTGAGCACTACATTGAGCTCCATGCTGACAGTGCAGAACCTGCTTGGGATTCTGTCTCTCTCCCTCTCTGCCCCTCCCCATGCACGTTCTCTCTCTCTCTCTCTCTCTCTCTCTCTCTCACTCTCTCTCTCTCTCTCACTCTCTCACTCACTCTCACTCTCTCTCTTTCTCACTCCCTCTCTGTCTCTGTCAAAATAAGTAAATAAACTTTAAAAAAAAGTCTTAAAAAAAAGAAGGACACCTGAGTGGCTCAGTCATTTGAGTGACCATCACCAGTTCAGGTCATGATCTCACAGTTCGTGAGTTTGAGCCCCACATGGGCTTAGCACAGGGCCCACTTTGGATGCTCCGTCCCCTTCTCTCTCTGCCACTTCCCTGCTCATGCTGTCTCTCAAAAATAAAACGTTAAAAAAATTTAAAAATAAATAAACAAGAAAATAAAGAAAACAGGCATAGAAGGTGGTATGAAAATGTCAAAGATTTATGCAACAGGCATTTGGGAGAGCAACACTTTTTTCTTTTAAAGTTTATTTTTGAGAGAGAGCAGGAGCAGGTGAGGGGCAGACAGAGAGGAGAGAAAATCCCAGTCAGGTTCCACCTGCACAGAGCCTGACGCAGGGCTTGAACCATGAGATCATGACCTGAGCCAAAACCAAGAGTCAGATGCTTAACACAACTGAGCCACCCAGGTGTCCCAGCAACACTATTTTTAAGTCTGGATTAATATAAACTTTAATTGAGAATTTCCTGATGGTAGATGATTTATATAGGTTCTTTGGGAATTCAAGGAAGTGCTTTCATTAATGGAGAAGTTTCTTAGGGAAGTAGAAGTTCATTTTATGAGAATCTTAAGCAGTATTCCTCCTTTTTTTTTATAAACTGTCTTGCTAATTGAATATAGTTGAGACATTTACTCTCCCTTTATAGTGTGTAATTTTGCAAGCCTAGTGCAAGAAACACTGTATATTTCTTTTTAGGTATTAAGAGTTCATTGTGGGTGATACCTGCCAGATGCTCAGTGTATCTAAATTATGACTCTGGTATCTCATTGACATGGATAGATGACATCAAAGAGCATAAACAATAAGTTATGCCACTCAATTTTCTGAAAAAAATGAATACAGCTCTAAATTTTGATATCTAAGTTAAACTTTTACTAGTTAAAATTTAAAGCAAGACTTTTAAAAAATACAGGTAACTAGGGACTTTTAGGAATTCTTACTGTTTTTATTTGCTGCTTAATCTCATTTTGATTTTCCCCGAGACTTGAGTTAGAGCTAAACTCTCTAAAACTCCTGACTAAACCAAGTTATGATAATGAGAAATTACATTTGTTAACTGAATGGAAGGTCAAGCTTTGAGTGGAAATGTTTGGATTCTTAATATACTTTGTCAGCAAATGCTTAAAGAGTTTTGTTTTGTTTTATCCCCCTAGGAAGATAAAAACATCAGATGGGCTTCTAGATGGGACTATATACTGGAATCTATGCCTCATACCCACATTCAGTGGTTTAGGTAAGAGTACAGAGTTAATCCACTTTATGCTTTGTGCTTGTTCTGTGTTTTGTCCCTTTGAATATCACTTTCACTCTGTAATCCTCTCCAGTTATCCAGAAGTCTGGGCTTTTGAATTGGATAGACTTGTGTTTAATCCTGGCTTTAAATCATTGGTTGTAAGTCGGTCCAGGCCACCCAGTTTCTCAGAGTCCATTTCTTTATGTGGAGTTACCTGCTTCACAAGACTGTTCTGAGGATTAACAGAGATAATGAAACAGAGCATCTGAGCACCTTACTGGAAGTGGAAGAGTGCTCAATGAACAGAAGCTACTGCTCATGTTATGTCTACTTATAATTACTCTCTCTTCAGAGCATGATTCAAAATTTTTGTCTGGAAAGCTACTCATGGTGCCATCACTCTTTTTCCTATTTTGTTGACTGCCTTTTGACACTCATTAATTTATTGAATAAATTTGTTATAATTTCTTGAAGATACAGACCTTTATTGGTCCTTGCAGCATTACATTTATATGGGCATAGTGGTTATTTACTAATAATGGCCATAGACAAAAAAAATTGTAGTTCTTGGGGCGCCTGAGTGGCTCAGTGGTTTAAGCATCTGACTTCGGCTCAGGTCATGATCTCACAGTTCCTGAGTTCGAGCCCCGCATCGGGCTCTGTGCTGACAGCTCAGAGCCTGGAGCCTGCTTTGGATTCTGTGTCTCCCTCTCTCTCTCTCCCTCTCCCCGCTTGTGTGCTCGCTCTCTTTCTCTCTCTCTCTCTAAATAAACATTAAAAAATTTCTAGTTAACAAATTATGATAAGATTATTATGATAATTATATAAACTTCTGTATCCACTAGAAGGACACATAACAGAGCACAACTCATTGAATCTGTTGGATTTTTAGTCAAATTTTGATTTTGATCAATGTTGTTGTAATGTGCCTGAATAAACATTTTGAAAAGGAAACGAAGCTACAGATTAATCCTGACATGCTTATTCCTACAGTATCATGAATTCCCTGGTCATTGTGCTGTTCTTGTCTGGAATGGTGGCTATGATTATGCTACGGACACTGCATAAAGATATTGCCAGGTATAATCAGATGGATTCTACGGTGAGTGAAACATTTGAACTGTTCTCTAGTCTTCTGAGAGTAGTTCTTATTTTGTTCTTTGGAAAAGTTGAAATAATAGCTTTAGACAGAATCTGCCTCTAAAACATTCTTCTCAAAAGTTACCCTGAATTCACATTTTCAAATAAGAAGATGATCCTTAAGAGTTGGTATTCCTGGGGGCGCCTGGGTGGGTCAGTTGGTTGAGCGTCCGACTTAGGCTCAGGTCATGATCTCGCGGTCTGTGAGTTCAAGCCCCGTATTGGGCTCTGTGCTGACAGCTCAGGGCCTGGAGCCTGCTTCTGATTCTGTGTCTCCCTCGCTCTCTGCCCCTCCCCCGTTCATGCTCTGTCTCTCTTTCTCTCAAAAAAAAAAAAAAAAAAAAAAAGAGTTGGTATTCTAGTATATGTGTTGCCAAAGCGAACACAAAAGAGTTGGTATTCTATAGGGGCGCCTGGGTGGCTCAGTCAGCTAAGCGTCCAATTTCGGCTTAGGTCATGATCTCATGGTTCGTGGGATTGAGCCCCATGTCAGGACTGTGCTGATAGCTCAGAGCCTGGAGCCTGCTTTGGATTCTGTGTATGTCTCTCTCTGCCCTTCCCCACTCGTACTCTCTCTCTCTCCCAAAAATAAATAAAAAAAAGAAACATTAAAAAATATTCTCTAGAGGTCTTCTCTAGAAATTTAGTCACTCTAGCACTCAGAGCTGCACTGCTCACAGCTCCAGTTCTGTCCCCTCTATTCATATATGTCCTGTCACTTCTCTCAGTCTTCATTCCCAGCATGCCCCCAGTTTGTGAAACAGCAAAGCTGAGTGGAATAACTCCCAGGCAATTTTTATTTGTGTGTTTAATTTTTCAAAAGTAATTTTAACTGAATTTTATCATTTCAACCTTTTGGTATATTCAAAGTAATTTAGTGTCCCAACCTCATTTATTCTCAAAATGTATTTTTTTTAATTTTCATTTTTTTAATTTTTTTAGAGAGAGAGTGTGTGCAAGCAGGGGAGAGGGGCAGAGGGAGAGAGAAAGAATCTTAAGCGGGCTCCACACTCAGTTTGGAGCCTGATGAGAGGCTTGATCCCATGACCCTGAGATCATGACCTGAGTTGAAATTTGAGAGTCGGATGCTCTACCGACCAAGCCACCCAAGTGCCCCTCAAAATATTTTATTTTATTTTATTTTATTTTTTTTAACGTTTATTTATTTTTGAGACAGAGAGAGACAGAGCATGAATGGGGGAGGGTCAGAGAGAGGGAGACACAGAATCTGAAACAGGCTCCAGGCTCTGAGCTGTCAGCACAGAGCCCGACGCGGGGCTCGAACTCACAGAGTGTGAGATCGTGACCTGAGCCGAAGTCGGCCGCTTAACCGACTGAGCCACCCAGGCGCCCCTCCCTCAAAATATTTTAAATTGGGGGCACCTCATGGCTCAGTTAGTTAAGCATCCAGTTCTTAGTTTCGGCTCAGGTCATGATCTCGTGGTTCGTGGGTTCAAGCCCCACATTGGGCTCTTTGATGACAACGCAGAGCCTACTTGGGATTCTCTCTCCCTCTTTCTCTGCCTTCCCTCACTCATGTGCTCACTCTCTCTCTCTGTCTCTCCCTCAAAATAAGTATATACTTGGAAAAAAAAGAATTTTAAGTTGTATAATGTTTTACATTTTATACTTTTTCATTTTATAGCAATTATTTCCACAGGACTCATAGTGACTTGTAATGAATACAAAAAACTCAAATTTTATGTTTTCTTTTCCTGATTTCTTGGCTTTTTCTTCTCAACTTTTCTGTCCTATTCTAATTAGAAAAAGAACATGCTAATATTTATTGTCTTTTTAGCATTTCCACCCTAAAGTCTCTTTTTCATTATTTTTATTGATTATTAAATATTAAAATAATTTCAGAATACTCTCTCATAATTAGCAATTTCAAGTGATTGCTCAGCTAATGGTATTTTTTTTCTTAATTTGTACAGAGGTGCCATGGGATACAGGCCAGGGCGACCCTGCTTCCACTTTTTCCTCTTCTATTTCTTTTTCCTCCCTTATTGTAGTGGTCAGAGCAGATCTGTTCAGATATAACTCAGATTGTTTCACTCCTGTTCACAGCCCTCCAGTAGCTTCCCATTTCACTCAGCATGAAAGCCAGAGTCTTTACAGGGGCTAGTGTTGGTTCTGTTGAAATATTTTAGAAGTAGAGCTGAGGATTTGTTGAAGAACTGTATTCAAGGTGTTAAAAGAAGGAATCCAGGAGGATTCCAGGGTTTTGGGGACTGAACAGCTGGCAAGATGGAGCTTCTACAGGGTTGGAGGTGGCCTGCAGAAAGAGCAAATATAGATGGGGAGAGAAAATCCATTCAGTTGTGGTTAATTCTGTTCAGGATGCTTGTTAAATAACCAAGTGGAACTGTTTTTAGGCAGTTGTATATGTATATCTGAGATCAGGGGAGCAGTTAGGGCTGGTGACACAAACTTCTTCATATGCTCATATTTAAGCCTACTGTACCTGGCAAAGTAGCCATGAAGTCTAATACCATTTGCTCATTTTGGAGATTAATAGACGTAGATGGGAAAGGGTAGAGTGTGAGTAAAAATTAAGTCATCAATTTGGATCATAAAGTTTGACTAGAACTAGGTAAGTATCACATTATCTTTGTATTTTTTTTTAAAGTTTGTCAATGACTGTATTTATGGAACTTAACATACAACATTCCTTTAAAAACAATCCAAGAAAACTATATAAAGCTCTGTGAGTCAAACTTTATAACATAAAGCTTAGGAATAGAAATCAATATTAACATTTGTAAGTTTAAAAAAAATTTGTATCAGCATATTCACCAGTGTACAAACTGTATAGCTGTTTTGGTGACCACATATCAATTAAACAAGTTCATTCCCTTTTTAGGAGGATGCCCAGGAAGAATTTGGCTGGAAACTGGTTCATGGTGATATATTCCGTCCTCCAAGAAAAGGGATGCTGCTGTCAGTCTTCCTGGGATCAGGGACACAGATTTTAATTATGACTTTCGTGACTCTATGTAAGTATTAAGTGATAATTAAAAAATAGAAAATACTTTTTCTAAATAATTTAGAAAAACAGTTTTCATAAGTGAAGTAGCTAGACTAGATTGTATCTAAGAGTACTTTTGGCTTTTACATGTGTGTGCTCTGGCTATACGTTTCTTGGGGCAGTGTTAGCTGTGCTGCAAAACTGTGACTTCATATCTCCTTTACAGCTGCACAGAGACCAAGCCTTTGTCAAGGAGTTGGAGCTGGAGATGATTAGGTACCTGAAGACCATCTGGGTCTGAGTCTGGGTGGCTTGGAACCAGGGTCATGTATGGTTCCCATGACTGTCCCATGCCACCAGGAGCAGTAGGATCAGGATTCCAGGATGTTTTTGGCTTCTACTGAGAGAGACCAAAAGAAAAAGAGGAACTTTCTTTCTGTAGCTTTGTTCCAGAGAGATCTTCCCACACAAAAAATAGCTCCTCCTTGTGCCACCTGAAAATCTTCAGAAGTGTTATTACTTAAATGTTTGTCAATTAGGACAACTTTTTTTTTTTTAAGTGTTTGTTTATTTTTGAGAGGGAGGGAGGGAAGGAGAGGGTCCAAAGCAGGCTCTGCACTGAGAGTGCAGAGCCCAGGGTGGGGCTCAAACCCATGAACTGTGAGATCATGACCTGAGCCAAAGTCAGACGCTTTGGATGAGTCACCCAGGCACCCCTAGAACAACCTTAAAAAAAAAATAGCTCCTCCTCCCCCCCCCCCCTTAGAGTTATTGGTTAGCCTGGGAATACAGTATTTTTTCAGTTTTTCCTAATTGTGAGAGAAAAAAAATGTTCATGGAATTTTCTGAATTTTGCTTTTATTTCCCTTATGTTTCCTTTATTGGTCCTTCTACTGATGAACAGTAACAAATGAATTTTTACTATAAGTACATAAGTAAATGAAATAAATGAATTATTACTGGAAGAATTCAGAAACCACTGACCTTTTAATAATTTTTTTAATAAAATTTATTGTCAAATTGGCTAACATACAGTATGTACAGTGTGCTCTTGGTTTTGGGGGTAGATTTCTGTGATTCATTGCTTACATACAACATACATACATACATACAACAGTGAGAGTACATGAGTGAGGGAGGGGCAGAGGAAGAGGGAGGGGGAGAGAGAATCTTAGCAGGCTCTATGCCCAGCAAGGAGCCCAACATGGAGCTCCATCTCGTGACTGAGATCATGATCTTAGCTGAACTTAAGAGTAGGACATTAAACCGACTGAGTCACCCAAGTGATCCTAATAATTTTTTTTTTTTAATGTTTATTTATTTTTGAGAAACAGTGTGAGTAGGGAAGGGCAGAGAGAGAATGGGAGACACGGAATCCGAAGCAGGCGCCAGGCTCTGAGCTGTCAGCACAGGGCCCGATGCGGGGCTTGAACCCACGAACTGTGAGATCATGACCTGATCTGAAGTCGGAAGCTCAACCGACTGAGCCACCCAGGCACCCTGCTCCTAATAATTTTTTAATGAACATTTGTTCTTATGTTTGATTGCATATTAAATATATAATGCTAAAATCATTTTATGTTAATAAAATTGTTCCAAATTTTTATGATGGAATAACTATATAAATACTTTACAAAGAGGATTCACACTTCGAAATATCTGGCACCTGAATAAGTTTGAGAATCATTGATGTATACCTTTAGGTATACATCACTTTGAAGCCTAACCTGAAGATTAACTAGAACTAGTATCTTTATCTATTTAGATAAGGAGATACAACTATGATGGGGAGGGCTAAAATTCTTAAGTATATTATACTGAAGAGGGTAGGTTGGGAGAAGGCATCATGACAGAGGTTTGGACACAACCAGAGGATAGCATGAAAGCTAGTTGGGGATCACTAGGTCCCCAGAGAGCCAGGGTAGAGCTGGAGGAGCAGAATGGATGCCTTAGGATAAAATGTTGCTTGAAAATTTTATTGGGAGTTGCCTTCAGTCATCACCTGATCTTTGTTGGAGTCTGCTAGAAAATGAACTTGTAAGGAAGGAAAGTTTCAGAGCGCCTGGGGATCATTTTCCTTGAATGCTCAAATATGAACTCTCTCCTCCAGAACAGTCCATTTCTTAGTCTTGTGGGGATTGGGGGGGGGGGATGCATTTTGGTTGAAAATCTGATCAGTTTCCTGCTGATCATGAGTTTCTAGTCTTGCCCCTTGGTTGGTGTTGATGAGAACGTGTGAGTGGACATGTGCCTCATTATGTATACCTCAGAGAAATACATGCTCCTGGGGTTAGAAAACCGCTTGAATTTCTTTCTGAGAAAAGTCATAACTTCTGAATTCCAGCTTAAAGCCAGGAATGTCTACAAATACAAGGTAGTATTTTTATTCTTATTAGGTGGGTTATATAAGGAAGAAAAATAAAACTAACCAATTAAATAAGGGGAGAAGCCAGAATTTCCCTGAGTCAATCAATGACCAAGTCCTTCAGTAACTTGTGTTCAGAAAGCTAATAGTATTATGAAATGTTTTTTGTTTTATTCATTGATCAGATTCTATCTTGTCTCTTGTGTTTGAAGGTTATAGTTCTCACTCCAGAGGACCCAGTATTGTTTTTAAAGTGGGAATATTTCATGGTGGGAATGTCTATATTCATATTAATTTTTTTTTTTTTTCAAAAAAATTTTTTTTTCAACGTTTATTTTTGGGACAGAGAGAGACAGAGCATGAACGGGGGAGGGGCAGAGAGAGAGGGAGACACAGAATCGGAAACAGGCTCCAGGCTCTGAGCCATCAGCCCAGAGCCCGACGCGGGGCTCGAACTCACGGACCGCGAGATCGTGACCTGGCTGAAGTCGGACGCTTAACCGACTGCGCCACCCAGGCGCCCCTATATTCATATTAATTTTAATGTTTATTTTTTATTTTTATTTTTTTTGAGAGACAGCGTGAGTGGGGGAGGAGCAGAGAGAGGGAGACACAGAATCCAAAGCAGGCTCCAGGCTCTGAGCTGAACTTGGGGTCTGAATGCACAAACTGCAAGATCATGACCTGAGTCAAAGTTGGATGCCTAACCAACTGAGCCACCCAATTTTAAAATCTCAGAAGAGCTGAAGAGCGGAAAGCACTCGTGAGCATCCAGTCAGCCTTCCCTGATGGCAGGAAAGGTGGGGTCTTGTGGACCCTATAAGAACCATCCAAAGTAGAGATTGCTTTATTTATGATCCTATTGGTGAAGTACCTAAAAATAGTGCTAAGATTTAGCGTGGCCATAGGTAAGATAGTGTATTCATGAAATTGTATTTGGTTTCTTGTTTAAAAAATGAAAGGGGTCTTCAGTCACTTCACAACAAAGGAAACTAATAAAATTTATAACTTAAAACTACTTATTTTTTAGTTTTCGCTTGCCTGGGATTTTTGTCACCTGCCAACAGAGGAGCATTGATGACTTGTGCTGTGGTCCTGTGGGTGCTGCTGGGCACTCCTGCAGGCTATGTTGCTGCCAGATTTTATAAGTGTAAGTAAAAGTCACCCTGTCAGGCTAGGAACCTACTCTGCTACATCACTGCATCTGTTCTTGAAACAATATGTTTTATAGGTGTGTATCTTTATTTAAAAGAAACTTGTAAAACGGATGGCCATCTCTAGATTTATTTGTTAAAAACTGTTGGAACAGTGAGGTAAGCAAATTTAGGTGTTGCTTATCCACAATCCCCCTTGTCCTTTTTCTTTTACATTTTGACAAAAGAGATTTGACTAAACAACTTAGATTTGCTACATTCATAGAAACATATATAGACTAATAAAGGAAGAAAGTATACTTATGAGTATCACTGATTTATTAACTAAAACAAGTAATACATATAGTAACACTTTTCTTACATAAAGAGGTTGTGCTTATAATTGCATCAATTTAATATTTGGAAAAATAGACTGTACTTAAACTAAGATTGCACTATTTTAAAGAGCCCTGAAGTAATTTAATTTGCTTTTATAATGTAATTAGTGGTAATCTGTTGTATCCTTGCTTTCTAAAAGAAAAATAAAGTTGAGTGAAAAAAAAGCATCAGGGCCACAGAGTAAGGATGGGATATGACTAGATGACTAGAAAAAGCAGCTTTGCTAGGGGCAGTGAATGCCAGTGTTTGCTGTGGAATTCTGAAGTCTATCGAGATAGTCTCATAGCTAATCTGTAATTTAAAGTGACAGGGAGGAGGTAAAAAAAATCCTGTCCTCTGAAAACTGTAAGACACTGATGAAAGAAATTGAAGATAATGGAAAGACATGTTCATGGATTAGAAGAAGTAATATTGATAAAATATTCATACTACTGAAAGCAATCTACTGGTTCTGTGCATTCCTTATCAAAATACTAAGAGTATTTTTCACAGAACTAGAAAAAATAACCCTAAAACTTGTATGGAATCATAAAAGACCCTGAATATCCCAAGCAATCTGGAGAAAGAACAAAAATGGAGGTATCATGATCCAAGATTTCAAGGTACATGACAAAACGGTAGTATGGTACAGTACAGTATGGTGCTGGCACAAAAACAGACACACGGATCAGTGGAACAGAACAGAAAGCCCAGAAATAAACTCACACTTAATATGGTCAATTAATCTGCAACAATGAGGCAAGAATATATAATGGGAAAAAAAGACAGTCTCTTTAAAAAATGGTGCTGGGCAGCACATGGAAACTGGACAGCTACATGCAAAAGAATGAAACTGGATTACTTTCTTGCACCATACACAAAAGTAAGCCTAAAAAGGATTAAAGGCCTAGATGTGAGACCTAAAACCACAAAACTCTTAGAAGAGAGAACACAGGCAAGTAATCTCTTTGACATTAGCCTTAGTGGCATATTTATGTTGTTTCCCCTGCCATTCCTCAGGCAGGGGAAACAAAAGCAAAAATAGAACTATTGGAACTATACCAAAATAAATATTATTGTCCATTTGCACAGTAAAACACAAATATCTTCCATGATTTTGCTTATGTAGAGTCTAAAAAAACAGAACAAACAAAAAAAATGGACCCTTAAATACAGAGAACAAACTGGTGATTGCCAGAGGGGAGGTTGTTGGGGAGATGGGTGAAATAGATGAAAAAGGATTAAGATGTACAGACTTTCAGTTGTAAAATAAATAATTCACGGAGGTGAAAAATACAATATAGGAAATGTGGCCAATAGTACTGTTGTGACAGATGGTGACTACACTCTATCATGGTGAACATCGAGTAATATATAGAATTGGGGAATCAGTTTGTTGTACACCTGAAACTAATATAACATTGTGTCAGTTATATACGTCAGTAATAAACTAGGGGGAAAAAAAGGGCCCACCAAAAGCAAAAACAAACAAAATGGAAGATGGGACAGAACTACAGTTGATGTGAAGAAGGTTTGAGGTAAAACACAGGTTACATAGGCAGCCCTAAAAGTGACGTTGGCTAGACTCAACTCCAAGTAGAAATATTTGTTAGAGTTTGCCAGGTACAGTGCTCTCTGAAAATGAGACGTGCTATATGTATGTGTGTCTGTGTTTTACTTTTTGTGTATTTTGTCCCAAGTTTTTTTTTCTTTTTCATCCTTTCCTAAAGGACAGAAGGTTGTGGGTGTCACGTGTAGTTTAACACACATGAGCTGAGCCACAGTTGGACCCCTACCTCCCATGCAGCACTCCCTCTTTCTCAACCATGCTGGCCTTCTTCCTGTATCTTCACACCTGCCCCAGGAACTCCCCGTGTCCTGTTCCCTGTGTGAGAAGCTCTAGCTCATGCTCCCTCCCAGCCCAGACGCAGTCCCTCTTTAACTCCTGCTCCATCCTTCAGATCCCCCAGCTGCCCATTAATCAGGCAGAACATTCAAGAGGTGCTGTCATGTGGCCCCAGTCACAAAATACTTCATTTTATAGAATCATTTCTAATGTTTCAAAAATATTATTTGAATTTTGATTGGAATTGTATTAAACCCTGAATTAATAATTTCATAATAGTCTCTTAATCAGTAATGCTGCAAATTCAAATCACATGTATATAATTTGTCATTTTGTTTTAAGGCAAGTGGTACTTACAAACTATTACAACTTTTTAAAGAAATCAGAGCTGTTCTCACACCTCAGCCAGTTTCATCTTCAGCTTTTAAGCTGGAAACAGAAAACCATTTTTTACTCTGTGTACTTGAAAAAAAAAGCTAAGTGGGGAAAAGAAATTAGAGAGGGACAAAGCATATTAAAAAGTTCATGAGCAAATTTGTTCTGTTAAGTGGCCATAACTGTCCTACTCTTCTCAGTCACCTGATCTGACATATCCAAGCCCCACCCCCACCTCTAGCCCCTCCCAGTAACTGCAGTGGTACATGAGCCCTGAAGATTTAGACCTGCTGTGGAAACTTAAATGTGTTGCGCTTGAGGCTTGCAGGTTCCTAGTTGTATAACAGATTTTGAAACTGGCCACAAGATAAAGGAGAATCCTCAGTATGCCCTTTCTCTACCCAGTTCCATGGATTGGAACTGGCCTAGAATCTAAGGGTTTGTTTTATTTTGAAGTAGAAAAAAAAAGATTGGAAAAGAAGTGGTCTGGATGACCTTCCTCTGATATTAGATTTATGCTGAAGCAAACATCTTGAGAGCAGGGCTTATCCAGCAAAGTTTGTGATGTGCATCTCTGGTCTGCATCACCTAGGGAATACCACATCATTTGCTAGTGTGATTTTCTAGGAGTGGTACCCAATGCTGTCTGAAAATTTGTTTAATGCCAGACAAATATGGTCATTTGGTTTGCTTTGAAGAAAAGTCTGTATGGCATACCACTTTTGTTTTCTTCCACAGCCTTTGGTGGTGAGAAGTGGAAAACAAATGTTTTACTGACATCATTTCTTTGTCCTGGGTAAGTGAACGTTTCAATAGTAATTGTCTTACATAGTCATATTTTAGTTCCCAAATTTTCAACCTCTTAGGTCTTTAATCTTCTCTGTCTCTAAACTGTGTACACTAGAAAATGAATTTAATTTTGTAAAAAGGGATAAAAAAATGAATATTTAATAAACGTTTGTGGAATGACTTCCACCTGCTGTGTCTGGAAAAAGTATCTTTGAACATAAGAAATTTGTAGATTCCTTTCCTTAAAAGTCTATTTCTTAGTCTGTGTGAGTTGGTCTGGCATGTTGTTATATAAGGCTACATTGAAAGCTTTTGACCTAATCACAAGAAGGTGTTTTCGCTTGCAGATTATTCAGGCAAGCAAACATTTTCAGATTTCTATCAAAAGTATTGCCACTCTTAAGTAATCTAAGTTTCCACTGATAGATGAATGGGGTAAAGAAGATGTGGTAACACACACACATATACACACAATGGAATATTACTCAGCTATAAAAAAAAAAAAAGAATGAGTTCTTGCCATTTGTGACATCATGGTCGACCTAGTGCTAAGTGAAATAAGTCTGAGAAAGACAAGTACCATGTGATTTCACTCATTTGTGGAATCTAACAACAAATGAACAAACAAAACAGAAGTAGACTCATAAATATAAAGAAAAAATTGGTGGATGCCAGAGGGGATAGTTGGGGAAAGGGATGGGCAGAATAGGCCAAGAGGATTAAGAGTTACAAACTTCAGTTTAAAATAAGTAAGTGATAGAGGTGAAAAATAGAGCATAAGGAATATATTGTACTAACAGTATATGGTAACAAAAGGTGACTTTACTTATCATGGTGAGCACTGAGTAATGTACAGACATTGTCAAATCACTACATTGTACACCTGAAACTAATATAACATTGTCAACTATAATTGAAAGCTAAAAAATTTTTTTTAAAGTAGTGCCACTTTAGACTTTATTCCATTAAATAGAGTAATATATAGCAAAAATTTTTTAAAATGACAATCACGTTTAAAAAAATAATAATTGTGACTCTTTGGAAGATAGCTTTTGATATCAAGTATCTGATTGGTGTCTGGTCCTAGAAATAGAACCCACTTTTTTCCCAACTCCCAGATTTCTGGTGGACAAGAACCAGCCTCTGAGCAGTTAGCAGCAATAGTGAAATCCAAAGGTTAAATCTAAAAGCCAGGCCATTCCATTTGCAGGCCAGAAACTAAAGAGTAACAATAGTTGCATTGTTTATACATGTTTGGGATAAATATTCCCTCAGATAATTACCTCCATTGAAGAATGATATGATTCTCAGCCATTCATGATATATTCAGATTTATTTATTTATTTATTTACTTATTTATTATTTTAGAGAGAGAGAGGGTGAGCAGGGGAGAGGGGCAGAGGGAGGGAGTAAGAATCTTTTTTTTTTTAATGTTTATATTTGAGAGAGAGAGAGAACACAAGTGGGAGAGGAGCAAAGAGAGAGGGAGATGCAGAATCTGAAGCAGGCTCCAGGCTCTGAGCTGTCAGCACAGAGCCCGATGTGGGGCTGGAAGTCTGAAACTGGGAGATTATGACCTGAGCCGAAGTCAGACGCTTAACCAACTGAGCCACCCAGGCGCCCTGATGTATTCAGATTTTTATGCTTTTTCTCCAGCCAAATCCTTTGTCTTCTTTCCCATCAACTAAAGAAGTACTCCTTCTTCCCAAGACAAGTCAGCAGTCTGTGATTTCCTTCAGAAACTTGCCTTTCAGACATTCCTCCTAATCTTGGCATCTTCTATTTCTCAGTGTTCTGTTCGTGTTTCATCGTCTTTCCTACAAATATACTAGGTTCCCAAATCCTAAAATGAGCTTCTTTGTAAGCATCTTCCCCTCTACTATCTTCTTTCTTTTACATTCCCAACAAACTGCCTTGAAAAAATATTCCACACTCCTTTATTCTCATTTTCTTCTCAGCATGCATTCACAACATAAACCCACGTACTCTTTCTTCCCCTATGACTTTAGTGAAAACTTTTCTCAAATACCAATGATATTCGCATTTCTAAATCTAGAAATCATTTTCTCTGTCTTCACTCTATCTCTCTACATTGTCTAACATTGGGATACTTTCTCCTTGAAATGCCTTTCATTTTTTGGCTTCATAGAAATTATCCTAAGCCAGTTCTTTTATATCTCTGATCAGCCCTTCTTTGATTTATCTTCATGCTACCCTTAAAAGTGGGTGTTCATTTAAAAAAAAAAACAACAAAAACCTGTTAGGTTTTCACCAGAAGGATAGTGAGGTAATGAATGAGGGAAAAGCCAGGGTTGGGGGAGGAAAAGCACATAAGAGTGTACCAGGAACCCAAGGGGGCAGGGAGAATTGGTGTTTGCCTAGGAAAAGAAGTACCATTTAATGACATGAAATTAATTCATGTAATTTTATGTAAATACCTACATATAATTATTACAGTAGACACAACAAAATGGTATTTGATAATATTAAACATCGTTTCCAAATATAAAAATTATTCAATGAAGGGGCATGTGGGTGGCTCAGTCAGTTAAGCATCCAACTCTTGGTTTAGGCTCAAGTCATGATCTCACCTTTCATGAGATTGAGCTCCAAGTTGGGCTCTTTGCTGACAGTGCGATTGCTGCTTGGGATTCTTTCTCTCCCTCTCTTTGCTCCTCCCCCACTGGTACACACTCATGCTCCACTCTCTTAAAATAAATAAATTAAAAAAAAAAAAAGGATTGAATGGAGAGAAATGCTTCTTTATATTAATAAAAATCTCATATTTATTTGTGATATAATTTGTATACAGAGAACAAGTTTCAGCTATAAAACAACAACAGAAAGGAGTATTAGCAACAGAAAACCTTCACAGTACGAGATACAAATTCACCGTGTTACTTGATCAGAGTATTGACTGCATGAGGGGTTTGGCAATGTGCTGCAGCTACTAGCACAGAAAACATAGAAATAGACCATATATTCATGGAAGCAGCTAGATGTGGCATCACCAATCAGAGGAAGTGTTAGATGATGCTCATACTTGATTGTGTATATGAAGGAAGAAAAATTCTGTTCTTACCAGTCACACACACAATCAATTCCAAGGGGATTGTGATCTAAATGTAATGGGCTTAACAGTTGGAAGAAAATATGGAAGAGTGTCTTCATGGAAGTGCCTGGCTAGCTCAGTTGGTGGAGCATGTGACTCTTGATCTCGGGGTTGTGAGTTCAAATCCCACGTTGGGTGTGGAGATTGCATAAAAAAATAAAATCTTTAAAAAAAACAAAAAAGAGGAGTATGTTCATGATCCCAGGTTAGGAAGGACTTTCTTCTCTTAAATGAGTTACACAAAGGATAAAGGGAAAATTGACAACTGGTCACATTAAAAACTGTGTGGGGGGAATGTAGAAACAATTATCATGTGATTACAGCCATATGTTTTAAAATGTACTCAGAGAAAAAAGACTGAAGGGAAATTAAGTATACATATTCACTTGTTTGGGGTTCATAAAAAGCCGTTAACTCAGAGAACGGGATATTTAACAAGGAATTATTAGTAGCTAGAATATATAAATAACTCCCATCTATAACTTTAGAAAAGACGTACACCCCAAATGAAAAGTGAGTAGTAGATGTAACCAGCAAGTCACAGAAATAATAACTATAAAACCAATAGACACAAGATGCTCCACAGCAGTTGTGAACAGGACTTAAATTAAACAATAAATTTGGCAATCCAAAGCACGATGAAATACATAAAGAGGTAATTTTCTTAAGCTACTGGTGGGAATTTCAGTCAGGCAAAACCAATCTGAAGAGCAATTGGGTAATTTCTAGAAAGTAATTTTAAATTCATATACCCCATTACTCAGCAACTTGATTTTCTTTGTAACACAGAAATTGTAATATTAATTACATATGATTGGTACTATATCCTTTTGCTTCTGACTCAAGTTTTACCCAAAAGCCTATTGTATCTTTCAGGATTGTATTTGCTGACTTCTTTATAATGAATCTGATTCTCTGGGGAGAAGGATCTTCAGCAGCTATTCCTTTTGGAACATTGGTTGCCATATTGGCCCTTTGGTTCTGCATATCTGTGCCTCTAACATTTATTGGTGCATACTTCGGTTTTAAGAAGAACGTAAGTTTATGTGTTAATTTATTCAAATAAATTTCAGCTATGAAAATTAGCATATGCCACCTTAAAAGATAGAACAGTGTCTTAAAAAAAAAATGGCTAAAAGATACACACTTACCCTATGGGATCTGGATTTCATAGAAAATTGATGACCTCTTAGTTTGATTGCAGTCATTCTTAAAAATAGTATTATTTTGGGTGTGGTAGAGAAGTCACAGATATAAACTTAGATTTCAAAGTTTTGTAAGTAAATGGAAACTGTAGATTAATAGACAACGAAATGCTAAGTTAAACTATTGAAAACTTTTTTTAGTGTTTTAAGTTAGTGCATTAAGTGTTTCTATGTTACTTAACAAAGTAAACCAAGAATATGGGTTAGGAGGAAGGCTGTAAGAAAAGTGACTATAAAGTGACAGTGGTAATTTTTTTTAACATGTAGCTTTGCAAAAAATTTTCTATGGTTTTCCTCCTAATATTTCCTGCTAATATTCAAAGCTCAGTCCTTCTCTGCCTCCAGTCTTTCTCCACCTCTGCTGCCTCCTTTTGCCCACAGGCTAAGAGGAAAATGAACATTTTTTCTTTTCTTTTTTTTTTTTTAAAATTAGTCCCCCCCCCACCTTTTTTTTTAAGGTTTGTTTATTTTGAGAGAAAGAGAGAGTGTGTGAGTGGGGGAGGGGCAGAGAGAATCCCAGGCAGGTTCTGCACTATCACTGCGCTCCCAAAGGGGGAC